GTGTGTGTGTGTGTGTGTGTGTGTGTATTGGTGTGTATGTGTTGAAGCTTAACTGTGCCGATGCTAATTTTTTGGTTATATTTTGTTTTCTTGCAGGTTGCATTTCTGAAACTGTAACAGGACCTGTAAAGAAAAAATCCTCCTAGGCTAACCTTTGTCTGTAAAGAATTGTGGAATGTAAGAACTCAAGTGGAGATTATCTTTCTCAAAGTGACACTGATGATCCTGAATCAAAAAAGAAAGCTGTATATTTCAGCTGCTGTTTGTTGACTTTGGAGTCTTGAGATATTCAGAACATTTGACAGAGGCAAGTTGTTCAAGCATAGTTTTAAAGCAAGAGTTCAGAGAGTGAATTAATTTGAAATGTCAGGAGTCTGAGATCACTGTAACTAACACCCTACCAATTCCCCAAGGAGAAGGCAATTATCTTCTGAAACAACATCAGCTTTACAAAGAAGGCATGATAGCAGCTCCTTTGCCTTTTTTGAGGAATAAAAACTAGCTGCCAGGATTATGTACTGGATATTTCGATGTCCAAATGGAAAAGTAAACTTCAACCCTTTATGGTAAGCTCTGTTTTAGCTATAATACTTTTGATAGCCCATGCAAAGCTAATGGGTTAAAACAAGGGTTCCTAGATTATGGGTTGGGATTTCCCCTCACTGGAGAATCTAAGCAACCTAGAGTGTCACAATGCTGTAAAAAATTTGTGATGGGGCTTGTGCAGGTAAAGTGAGAGCACTGTCAAAACCTACTTTGGGCTTTGCTTTTCATTTTGCTTGAGTGAGCCCAGAGGGAGCAGTTGCTGTACCACAATGTTTAAAAATCTCTGTGATGTATGAAGTAAAATTGAATTATTAAAAGTGATAGATTTATTCCTTGCGCATTCTTAACCCCAGTGAAATCAATAATTTGATTTGATGGGGGCATTCACACAAATTCATTTATCATTTTAGGGGGTGACAAATTTGGAGAGCCATTGGAGTAGAGGCTGCTTTCCATATGCATGTGCTCCAAACCAACTGATTTCTCACCATTTTATGACTGATACAATTGTAAAGGGCTATGTCTGAATGATATGAAAAAGGTGGAGCTGGGAAATGATGTGGTGGACATGCTCTGATATGCCCCATTAGAAAAGATGAAGTTTGTCCAAGAACAAAGGAGATGAAGAAGATGTCACTGGGAATATTTCGTCCTTATAACTAGACATGTCATAAGAAGGAGTGGGATGTTGTAGAGCCATGCAAGCTGTGTGATAAATTTCTGAACATCATGTTAATAAGCTTTTAAGAGTGCCCAAAGTGCTTTAGCCTAGCTATGTGGCAGTACCCAGCCGACCTTGGCGGAATTTGAAAGCTAAGTAGGGTTGACTTGGTTGTTACTTGGATGGAAGACTATCGGAAAATCCCAGGACTTTGGCTAAATTGAATAGCCACAAACAAACTCAACAAACTAGAAAAAGGCAGTACCAAACCATTTCCTACATTGTTACCAAGAAAACTACATGAATTGTGTCATGAAGAAGCCAGGATTTGAACTCAACTTGAAGGAAATTTACTTTTTAAAGTACCTTAGTATTCCCCATACCTCAGACCAAATATTAAGGCTATTTTCCCCCCTTTTAGACAATGGACAATATGAATCCATGTACAGTATATAAAAAGACTGTATGATATATTGTGTCTTGAAATCACATAAATTATATTGCAGAGCATAAGGCAGTAAGCCATGCAGATCTCAGGAGCACTTGAATTCTTAGGCTTAGTTGCAAAGATAGTGCCAATGCGTTATCAAATGGAACAATGAAATGCCTTATTGAACTCTCATGAAAGTGGTATAGAATTGATCCATGCAAATATGCAATGATTTCGAGAAATAAAAATATGCACCATAGTCTTTAGTGAATTTTCTTAATTGGCTTTCTTGTTAATTCTATATAAACAGTTAAAGACTGCACTGCTATATACGTCGTTAAATTAAGATGACATTTCTAATATGCATAGTTGTGTCCTGCCACTTGGGTTTTTTTTTTTTTTTTTGAAGTTTTACTTTATTTCAGCCAGCACAAAAACAAACATAAAAACAGTTCCATTGCACTGACTGTTTTTTCAGGTTACCAGACTTGGCCTTTAATAGACTTTGATTTATGTGGTCCTAATAAGAGCAGAACAGGCAAAAGCCTTTATTGGAGCGTTGAAAAGAAAGTAGATACAAGACAATTTACAGTGTGCTTAGCTGCAAAATGGTATTGTGCAAATAGCTGAGGAAATATATCCCAGGCACTTTATTAGGAGAGCTTTAAAAAAATAAATGGCATCTTAAAGCAGAAACTTGAGCAGTTATTATCGTTCATTCTTACTTTCTGTTAAAATCCTAGTATGAGGCTGTGACTTATAAACATAATTTGGCTGTTACCCATTCTGCTCCTCAGTTTGTGAAGTAAGATGTCCTTTCCCATCTACAAATGGGTTTGTAGCAATCCAGGCATGTTGGCAGTTCTCCATTTATTCAGCAAACAAATAATAGGAAATCCCACTAATTCACTATCAGCCAGAAAGCAACAGGAAAAGTGTCAAATTGGCTGCTTCCCATGAAGGAAACAAATTAACCAACCTTCAGAAGAAATATTTAAGATCTTCCCAGAGTCTCTGCAAAGTAATGTGTTCTTTGTAAAGCTAACATCAGCAATGGAGTTTCCAATAGAAGAGAATATCTGTAGCTCAGGGTTGAACTGTGGAGTCCTTGGTGCTCTCTGAGCTTGGCTGTTT